CAGGAAAAAAACTCAGCAAGGTATCCATGCAAAAAGACCTGGCCTTCGCCCTCAGCCCAGCTTCCGAGGGAAAAGGGTCCGGTGTCCTGGGACACGCTCTTTTAAAGCAGGAAGTCCCACCTCTAGGCCCCACCACAGGCCATGTGGTCGGGAGATACAAAGAAAGCCCAGGAAAAAAAAACTCAGCAAGGCATCCATGCAAAAAGACCTGGCCTTCGCCTTCAGCCCAGCATCCTAGGGAAAAGGGTCCAGGGTCCTGGGACAGGATCTTTTAAAGGAGGAAGTCAGACCCCTAGTCCCCACCCCCAGGCCATGTGGTTAGGAGACAAAAAGAAAGCCCAGGAAAAAATCTCAGGAAGGCATATATGCAAAAAGAGCTGGGCTTCGCCCTCAGCCCAGCTTCCTAAGGAAAAGGGTCCAGGGTCCTGGGACACGCTCTTTAAAAGTAGGAAGTCCCACCCCTAGGCCTCACCCCCAGGCCATGTGGTCAGGAGACATAAAGAAACCCAGGAAATAATAACTCAGCAAGGTATCCATGCAAAAAGACCTGGACTTCGCCCTCAGCCCAGCTTCCTAGGGAAAAGGGTCCAGGGTCCTGGGACATGCTCTTTTAAAGCAGGAAGTCCCACCTCTAGGCTCCACCCCAGGCCATGTGCTCAGGAGATACAAAGAAATCACAGGAAAAAAACTCGGCAAGGTATCCATGCGAAAATACCTCGCCTTTGCCCTCAGCCCAGCTTCCTAGGGAAAAGGGTCCAGGGCCCTGGGACACGCTCTTTTAAAGCAGAAAGTCCCACCCTTAGGCCCCACCCCCAGGCCATGTGGTGAGGAGACAAAAAGAAAGCCCAGGAAAAAGAAAACCTCAGCAAAACATCCATTCAAACATACCTGGCCTTCGCCCTCAGCCCAGCTGAGGCCAGGTATGTTTGTATGGATGCCTTGCTGAGTTTCTGTACATCCATACCATACAATATTACTTTAAAAAAATCCCCCCCCCCTTGCCACCATCACCCTCAGGACCAGATAGCCAAATATATCCTTTTAATCTCTTTTTAACCTCATTCCACTCCAAAAATACATTGATTCATCCGCTGGCTTATGACCTCTCCCTTTTACAAAAACATAGTTCAAATATGGATCCCATGCCTCTTTTAAATCATTATATTTTGTTATTTCCCCATCTTTTATTTCACATGTTTGCTTATCATTTTATCACTAAACACTACATTTCTTTATACCAATATTCAACATTAATTTGTTTGTCATTTTTCCAATTCTTTGCAAATATTAGTCTTGTTGCTGTGACCATTATGACAATTATCTCTGTTCTTTGTTAAGATGGTCATTCTTAATTACTGTATATTTAAAGTCAGCAAGGGCAGCATCTTCTGGCTCTGGGCAAGCTTCTGTGCCATCCTGAAGGACACCGTTGCCTGATGGTCCTGTGGTGCAAAGCGAGGCACCACCCCTACCCCTCCCCGTCCCTTATGGGAGTCACCCATAGGCTGGGCTTTTCAGTGGCAATGACCGACTGGGTTGTGGCTGAGACTTGCAGGGGTGATTCCCTTGTTTATTTATTTAAAATATATTTACCTCCCCTTGCTCCTTAAAAAAGACACAAGGCAGCTTACATCATTAAAAGGCTATATTAAAGCTAACAGTGGTGAGTATACAAATGTTTCATCCTTTTTAATACTAAAAAAGATGAAACAAAGACTAAAAGCAGTAAGCCAAAGTAACACCAAAAACATTCACACCAGTTACAGCCACCCACTAAAAGAACCCCTTCAGTCGCTGAGGGAAAGCAGGCCTGAAGAGAAAGGTCATAAAATCATAGAATAGTGAAGTTGGAGGAGGCCTTTAAAGCCATCAGGTCCAACCCTCTCCTCCATGCAGAAATACAAATCAAAGGACATCTGCCACTGGGGGGGGGGGGGGGTGTCTAATTTTCTCTTGAAGGCCTCCAGGGTTGGAGCACTCACCAACTCCCCATGAGCTCATGGGTTCCATTGTCATACTGCTCTAACAGGAAGTTTTTCCTAATATTCAGTCAAATGTTGTGCACCCTGGGATGATCGAGAACAGATCCTGCCCCTCCTCTGCAGGACAGACTTTCAAATATTTGAAAAGTGCTATTGTATAACCCCTCCGCTTTCTTTTCTCAGGGCTAAACATGCCCAATTATTTAAGCCTTTCCTCAAAAGGCTTGGTTTCCAGCCCCCCCCCGGTTCCTCCTGGTTGCCCTCCTCTGAACTTCTTCCAGTTTGTCGGCATCCTTGGAGTGTGGTGTCCAGAACTGGACATAGGACTCAGGGTGGGACCTAACCAGTGCTGAACAGAATCTGTTAATGCATCCTGAAATAGCATTTTCCTTTTTTTAAAGCCACCTCAAACTGTTGGCTCATATTCAGCTTGTGATCTACGACAATTCCAAGATCCTTCTTGCTTGTAATATTGCTGAGCAAGGTATCCCCCATGTTGTAACTGTGCATTTCGTTTCTTTTTCCAAGGTACATTGCTTTGCACTGATCCCTGTTCAATTTCATTTTGTTGTTTTCAGTCCATGCTCCAGCCTAGCAAGATCATTTTGAATTTTGTTTCTGTCTTCCAAGGTATTAGATATTCTGCCCAATTTTGTGTCAATCCGACAAACATTCCTTGCACTCCCTCATCCAAGTCATTAATAAAAATAGCATAGGGCCCAGGACCGAGCCCTGGAGTATCTCACTTGTTACCTCCTCCCAGTTTGAGAAGGAGCCATTAATCATCACCCTCTGAGTACGATTCTGTAGCCAATTGTTTGTCCACCTGACACTATCCAGCGCACATCCTTGTTAGCTTGCTAACCAGAATACCACAGTGCTGTTTGTCAAATGCTTTGCTTAAGTCCAGATATACTGTGTCTACCGTCTTCACCTGCTTGTGAAAGGACAGCAAAGATGGAGCCAACCTGGCCTCAAGTGGGAGGGAGTTCCACAGTCTGGCAGTAGCAACAGAGACAGCTCTCTCCTGTGTCTCCATCAGATGCAGGTGTGAAGGTGGCAGGAGCAAGATTAAAAAAAAGCTTCCCCTGATGGTGTTATCACCTGAGCTGGTTCATAAAGAGAGATGCAGTAAGAACCATTAAAGGTAACAACCACGGCACCGCCACCACAAAGGGACGTGGTGGCGCTGTGGGCTAAACCGCAGAAGCCTGTGCTGCAGGGTCAGAAGACCAGCAGTCGTAAGATCGAATCCACGCGATGGAGTGAGTGCCCGTCGCTTGTCCCAGCTCCTGCCAACTTAGTGGTTTGAAAACATGTAAATGCGATTAGATAAATAGGTTCCATCTCGGTGGGAAGGTAAAAACGGCTTTCCCTAGTCACGCTGGCCACGGGGCAACGGAAACTGTCTTCGGACAAGCGCTGGCTCTATGGCTTGATAAGCGGGATGAGCGCCGCCCCCTAGAGTCGGACACGACTGGACTGAAAATGTCAAGGGGAACCTTTACCTTTACCTAGGCTCTTAAGAGCGAGATGACTCAGACAGAAGCTGCCTTTCCTTCACGCACAGGACTAGGGTGGGATGGGAGGACCCAGCCGAGCAAGATGCATTTCTTCCAATTCTTTTCCAATGGTTCTTCCCCCTTTTCGCAATTTCTCTATTAGAATTAGGAATCCTATTGAGGAAGGGAAACGCAGGAAAGTCTTTTTGCAACTATGACACAAAGATGCAGAACTGAAGCCTGGGGAAGTCGTAGCTGGAGAAAGCAGGGAGGTGCCATGGATCTCTCTCTCTCTCATCTCTCTCTCTCTCTCTCTCTCTCTCTCTCTCTCTCTCTCTCTCACTCACTCACTCACACACACACACACACACATATATATATATCCTAACCCTCGGTCTAGTCCTGATGCGCGGCTTCTGAGCGTCAGTTCTGATCCACCCGTAGGGGAGCAAAGGGAGGCGGCTGGCTGTCCGTTTTCCCTTTCGGCCCGCCCTAACCCTGACCCCATCAGAGCAGGCAGGGTCAGCGGGTGCCCTCACCAGCCGCTAGGTCAGAACAAGCCAAGCCAGCGGTGCCCCCCTCCCTCCCTTGCCCCCTCTCTCCCATGATGCTAGACGCCTGCTCCTGGGTTGCCTGCTCCCTGGCTCGCGGCGAGGCTGGGCGGTGGCTTCTCCAGGCCGGTGGAGGAAACCCCGGCGGCTCCTAGCCCCTTTCCGCCTGCCTGCCTGCAGGCCCTGGACGGCAGCCGGCAAGGCAAGGACCCGGCGCCGGGACCAGACACGAGAGACCGGCTGGAGCCTCGGAAGCAAGCGTCCGGCCCAGGGGTCCGCCGGCAAGAAGCGCAGCCGTCCGGTGGCCTGCGTCTCCTTCCACGCCCCAGGCCGACTGTGCGCGCCCACCGCACTATGGGTGACGGTGGCGGAGGACAGAGAGGGGGAGCCCGGCATAAGTCGCACCGGGGATTGGACTTCGACTCCACTGGGGATTTTTAAGACTCGGGGCTGGACTCCTGACTTCGAACCCTCTCACCTCTCCCCCTTTTTCCTGTGGGGAAAAAGCCTGTTTTTGATCGGGACATGGGACTCGGAATTTGGTCCCAAAGATTCGGACTCGGACTGTGCACCGAAGACTGAGACTCGGACGTACCACTATCCCCAGGGGGAGGGAATCCCCCACTTGCTGCCCCCCACACCCTCGCCATCCCCGCCAACCCTGCCAAGGGCGCTCCTGGAACACGACCCACCAGAAGGGACGCCGGTCGCGCGCCCTCCTCTGCTGTCCCGGCTAAGGAGACGCACGGGGGCCGCTGTGCCCGGTGGAATACGGGAAAGGCGAGGAAGCGGTCGGTGGCATCTCCAACGGTGCCCTAAGGGAGCCACCAGAGTCCCCCGCAGCGGGACTAGACCGAGGGTTAGGGTTTGGGCCCGGGTGGACGGCGAGTAATCCAGCAGGTTTAGGCGGAGAACCAGGCGGGGAGACTCCCCCGCTCCGTAGCTGCCGTGTCTGCCCCGCGGTCCGCCACTAAACCAGGGTAGCTCGGAAGGCGAACTCTGTGGCATCCGCAGACCTGATAGCTAGGAAGAGAGGAGCCTTGGCGCTGGATCAGACCCAGGAAGCCTCATCCCTCCCTCCCGCGGTGGCCGGCAAAAAGCAAGCCACGACTCTTCAGCACGCGCGCCCGCACACACACCCCGCCGCAACTTCCTCTGGGGATGGAGGGGCTCTCCAGCCATCACCGGGAGAGTCGCCATTCGGCTTTCTCCCTCCCTGGAGATGGGCAGTCGCTTTCCGAGCGGGAAGCCGTGAGCGAAGCCGGCTCCACGCCTGCCACCTTGCGCCCCGGGGGGTTTTCTCCGTCAAACGGCCCTCCCTGTTGGAAACTCTCGGCTATTTCCAGTCTGGACAGGAGCATCTGCTCCCAAACCACGGCCTAGAGAGATTTACTTTCCGAGCGGCACGGGGGTGGGGCGGGGTTCCTCTGGGTTCCCCAGCCGACGGGCCTCGCCCATTCTCATCGGAAGGCCTCCTTCCGCCCAAAGAAGCAGCAGACGTCCCGACGGGCCTACAGAGAGAGGCCTGGAGCATCCACGTGATGGATATGATGCCGCTGCTGGCAGGACAAAGTGGACTGCTGGCGACGCGGGGTGTGTGTGTGTGTCTGAGAGAGAGAGAGAGAGAGAGAGAGAGAGACTTCTTGGCTCACTTACACTCCAGACCCTCTCTCTAACCCTGTCCCCTTCCATGCCCGGGGATCCTCCTTCCTCACGTGGCCGGGGACTCCCTGCAGCGAAGCCCTCTTGCCCCTCCACCCCACCCCGTCCCCAGGGAGCCAGCAACAGGGCGATTCCCCTCCTTCCCCTCTCTCTCTGCCCGTCGGCTGCCGGCTGTGAGCCAGCACGTCCCGCCGGAGACTTGGGAGCGGGGGCCGAAGAAACAGCTTTCCCTTCAGCCTGCTTCGCCATGGCGCACAAGTCGGAGGCCCCGGACGGAGAGACCCTCCTCAGCACCTATCGCTCCGCCCAAGCGTCCCTTCCGCGCCCAGAGGGAAACGCCCAGTGGGCTCCTGTGCCCTTGAACCAGGCCGGGCCCTCGACCTCCCGGCCAGGCTGTTTTACAAATAAGGCGCCTCTCGCCACCGTGCGCCATGGAGAGCCGCGGCCCACGCTGCCTTTCGGCGCCTCTGCGGAGGGAAGACACTCGCTGTCTCCGATCCTCAGACGCTCAGGACCCGAACTGGACTGGGCCCAGGCCTCCTGAGGCAGGTGCTGAAGGGGACCCATCGCCGCCAGTATCAGCCTATAGGGCTGCCGGAGAGGAAGGAGCTGGCCTTCTGGGGTGGGGGGGTATGCCAGCTCCCCTAGGGTGTTTTTGCGCACACAACCCTGAGCTGGGTTGCCTCCCTCACCGACTCCCCACTTGCCCAGGGAAGAGCGGGGGTCTTTTGCCTAGAGCTCGGTCCAGCCTGAGCCCCGCCCCGCCCCGCCCCGGCAGGGCCCAGGACCCGCAGGGAGCAAGGATCTCGCTGCCCCTCCTGGCCCTCGGAGAATGGAGAGTTCGGAGGTGCGATGGTTAATGTGTAATTGGGACCAGATGGTCGCCTCCGAGTCGCAGCCTGTTGGGTGGCGAGCCTGGGAGGGTGGGGCGGCGGAGGTGGGGGCCTACTAGGGTCAATTGCTGGGCACCCGGGCCAGAGAAAGCCGTCGCCACCTGGGACCACTATTTGCTCATCAAATATTTTCCTGGACCGCCTGGCAGCGCTTTGCTCCGCCAGCCCAGCCTGGAGCCATCTGGGCCAGCGCGGGAGGCGGGGCGGAGGCTGGGCGCCCCCTTCCCCCAAGCCCTACCGGAGCTGCCTCCCTTTGAACGGGGCTGCCCGCAGCAAACGGAGCTCGCCTTGCCCTGCTCTGGTCTGACTGCTTTGCAGAGACCCTCGCGACCCGGCTGCGTGGTCTGTGACTTCTGAAATCTGCGCCCCCCTTGCGCCTTCCTTGGTGGGGCTCACACACACCCCCGGTGTCCAACGGAAGGCGTCCCTACGCCCGGCCTCGGAGTTTCAAGCCGGGGTAAGAGAGGAGACGCGGTGCCCCCCAAGAAGACAGCCTGCGGAACGGGAGACGGAGAAGGTCCCCCGGAGCTGGTGGCTCGAGCTCCCCGTCTCCTGGCGACCCTCTGCGCGGAAAGCCGCTGCGCGAACCGTTCCCGGAGGGAAGAAAAGGTAAGCCGATGGAAGAAGAGCCAGACCGGCCTGAGGTCGCTGTCCAGGCGCGCTGGTGCTGAAGCGCCCGGGACTGGCCAAGCCGGAGGGGAGGACGTCGGTTGCGCTTAGTTCTGCGGCAGGGAAGGGGGGAGGGCGCTCTAGCCGAAGACAAAGTCCTGGGTGAGCCGACCCCCCCGCAACCCAGCCAATGCAAGCTTTCCCCCCACCCCGCCCAGCTGGACCTCTGGAAGGCAGCGGCTGGGTGCAGTCCCCATCCTCCAGAGGAGAAGAGCCAGCGAGGGCGCAAAAACTCCACCCCAGCAGGCAGGTGGGGTCCTTCGCTGCCCGCAGCCGCAGCGCTGGGCTCGCGAACCCAAAGCAGGGACAGGATCTCAGCCCCTGTCAGGGCTCGGCTTGAGCTCTTCCTGCACCCCTTGGGGCAGGATGTCCGCCGGGCGGGGCGGCTGCACCTGGTTCTTGCCCAAGGCTCCAGTGCTCCAAGACGCCTAGACCAAAGGGCTGGAGGAGACTAGTCTCTCTCTCTCTCTCTCTCCTTCCCTCTCTCTCTCTCTCACACACACACACACACAGGGGCAGGATGTCGGCCGGGCTGGGCGGCTGCACCTGGTTCTTGCCCAAGGCTCCAGTGCTCCAAGACGCCTAGACCAAAGGGCTGGAGGAGACTAGTCTCTCTCTCTCTCTCTCTCCTTCCCTCTCTCTCTCTCTCACGCACACACACACGGAGAGAGAGAGAGAGAGAGAGAGAGAGAGAGAGAGCTGCCAGCCTCAACTTGTCTCCCTCAGTGATTGGGGTGTCTCTTGCAGGATCTCAGCGAAGCCGGAGAAGAACGACTCAGAGGATGCCTATAAAGGTCGAAGTCCCAGGTAAGCCCTGTATTCCCAGCGTTGTGGAGAAAGCCGCTCCCTTCCTTCCTGCCAGGCCAAGCAGCCCCAAGCAGCTAGGATCCAGTTCAAAAAGCGCTGAGGAAAGGAAAGAAAGGACAGCCTCTTAACAAAAAAATAAAAGTTTTTGGCGAGTGGGGGGGGAGGGGATCTCTGACTATTGCTGAAAGTCTGTGATTTGTTCTTCTAGCATGAACCTGGAAGTGAATGGGAAGCATTTTGAGGAAATTAATTGCAAAAGAACCAGCCCTGGAGTGTGGGAGAAAGTCAGGCAGGGCGGTGGGTCGGTGGGGTTGGGGGACTTGAATTATGAGCACTGAAGAGGGACAATGAAAGAGAGGGCTCGTCTGGCGTGGGTGCTGAGTCTGTGGGATTTGTGGGGGAAATGAATCTTCTCCTCTCCCTGGAGCTTCACATCAATGCAGGGAACTCTTTCTCTTGGCCTCTCTGCCTGAGCACTTTGGCAATTCTTCAGCTCTTAGCCTTCCTATGGAGCCTCCTTGCACCTTGATTTTGGGAGGCGGGGAAAGGGCTCAAGGTGAGCCCAGGCACCATGAATCCTGTCAGTGCCCAGTAGCCCCCCCCCGCAAGGCTAGGTGTGGGTTGCTTGGCTTGGGGGTCCACGGGCTGGGCCAGGGAGCCAGATGACCTGCTCCTCCCCATGTTTTCCTATGGGCCTGAGAGAGGCTCTGGGGTCCACCAGGCAGGAAAAAGCAGCAGCAGCGGCAGCAGCACTGCCCCCATCCTCAGTGGCGGCGGTGGTGGTGGAAGGGCTAGTCCGTGCCATGGAGCAGCTGTGGTGAGGGGGTCATGCCGTCGGCCAGGGTGTCACTAGCAGACCCTCCCCCCCCCCAGTTCAGCATCTTTTTCTCTGGAGAGACCAGCCAGATGGAAAAGAGGAAGCTGGCTGCCTCATCCAGGGTCAGGTCGTGGCTTCATCAGGGCCAATAGTCTTACAGACAGGGGGAGTTTCACAGTCCTTCCCCCCTCCCCAGATTTTGCCCTGAACCAGGATCTTCTGCATGCAGGGAGGCCATTCTTGAGGTTCCGCAGGGGTGGAGGGGGAGGATACCCATAGGAAGCCCAACAGGTGGAGGGGAGGGAAATGGACCCCCCCCTCCCCACTGTCACTCCCCAGTGTTGTCTCTTGCTTTCACGAAACCTCCCAAAGGTGCCTTGACCTGTTCTTCTTGTGCTTGTCTTGTGCATTCCAAAGCATACGTGGCTCTCTTCCAGGCTGTCTTCCTCCTCCTCCTCCTCCTCCTCCTCCACACCACAGAAACACAGTGAGGTCGGTCAAGGTCACCCTCTGTGTTTCATGGCATGGAGAGGGCTGTGAACCCAGGG